CCGGCTAAACTTTCCTTGAGTTGTTTTGATTTCTCTTTGCACGGCAAAACTTTATTATGGTTGTTATGGTTATTTTTATGGTGGTTATGGTTATTTAGAAGCTCCTGTTTTTCACCTCCCATTTTTCGCCTAGGAGAACAAGAGCCCCAGACAGTGCTTGAAGGAAGGCCACTGCAGAAGTCTGCAAATGACGTTCTTTGCGTGCAAAAGGTCCATTGTAAGTGCATGCGTGGTGTTTTCTAGGGCCACTGGCCTCTTTACTTTCATAGAATTATTGGAATTATCGCAGAATTAGCGTGGTTGGAAAAGACCTTCAAGATCACCTAGACCTTCAACACCTCCCTGCTAACCCATGTCCCTTGGTACTTCATCTACACGTTTCCTGAACTGCTTTTTCTCCCTATCCTGAATTTTCTACAGGAAAATCCACTTATATTAAGTGAATATTAAGTGAACCCTGATGTCATGAAGCAGAATATTTTTTTTTCCAATCCTGTTTAAGACATGAGTGTTGTACAGCACTTTCATGAAGCAAAGTTTCACAGACTGTCACTATGTTTTTTATAGATTCTGACTATGATTTAAAAGGTGCATATTTAAAGTAGGCTTAGAATATGACAGCAGGACAAATGAGGTAGATGTTTCCAAAGTATTTTGAATAAAACTTTGGGTTAAATACAATATTATCAGTAGACAAGGTAATTGTAAGGTACAGGCTTCAGGGGCTGAATTTTTGAGTTTTGAGGTTTTATCTGCAAGATCATTGGTGAAAAAACAGGTGCAGAAGGTATTTAAGTTGCTAGGATGCCTTACTGAGAGAGACTGTCAAAACTAGCCATTGGATTTGACAGTAGGACTAAATGTGTGATTACATAAACTTACGCTTAAAAACTGCCTGTTTTTCTAGGGAGTTAGTTATTATTACATATAGCAATTCTGGGTTTCCCGCTTGGTGCCAGAGGCAAGTGGTTTGAGGGCAACGAGCGGCTCCTTTCTGAGCTTGGGCTAGCTTCATGCCGCGTTAAAGGGGTAGTGAGCTTTCTCTCAGAGAGCTCTCCTGTCCTCTGTGGACATTGTCCACATGTTTGCAAGCTGGGGTGAGCAAAAATTGGCCTTGGCCTTTTGGGGACTGGGTGCTACCATTACCTGTCCCCACGACATGACTGATCATGTCATTGTATAGCTTAGACTATAAACATCTAGTCTGACGGCAAGAGCAAAATTCTTCACACAGACGACTGAGCTTGCTCTGTCTTCTGAAACTGCTGAATTTTCCCTTGCCCTTTTCCACCTGTGACAGGTAGAGGAGCTTTAAACAACTCATCCCCTGGGATAGAGAATCKGGTCCCAAATGACRTGTCACCCTTCATCAATTATGACAGGGTGGACAGACTGCCTATAATTAGCTGGAAAAGGTGCCTTGCAGTTGCAAGGTTCATAAAAYAGMAGAAAGTGTAACTACAGAGTTTCTCCATTTTTGATTGGAATTTCTTGTGTAGAAATGTCTTGTTTGTATTGTCATAATATTAAAAAATAGTTAACATGCGGCAAAACCCATTAGGACTTTTTTTTGTCAGAGCATATACTCTTTTGTTAGTTGGGTACTTAAGTAGGAGAAAGGTGTAAAGTGGAAGCTGCTTGCTGGTTTTACCAAGCTGTGCCATCTAATCCTGCTTTTTAGCTCTTTAATTTTATCACAGTTCTGAATTCTGAGAGTTAGGTAGTTAGGTGTCCTTTTTTTTTTTTTCCTTTAATTCTTTTTTTCATTGAATTGCAATCAGTAACTGCAATCTAAATTCAGAAGAACTGCTACAAGATCCAGGTGTATTTTTGTGCTGTACTGGGAAACAACTTGTAAATTACTTTAAGTAAATGCTGTACAGTAACTTTATTTTCGTTTTACTGCCATTATTTTTCCTTTCTTTAAATGTCTCTTTTTTTTCCCTAACTTCTRAGAGTAAACTTAGTTTTCAGAAGCTGAGTATTATGTCATTTTTACCCATATWTTTCAGACGTGTTCAGACTCCTGTCCATACAGTGATTTGCAGTGACTCCCACTTCAATACAAGCTTCAATTTATTGGTTCAGTTTGGAAAAACAGATCTAAGCAGATCCCGTTCTGKGCTTTTCTCTGATTTTAAGTGCCAAAATAGCACAGGCTCTGTGAACGTATTTCTCTTGCGAAGTGCAGCGTGTGGCTAACGTGTTGACTTGCATCTTCAGCTGGATACCAGAGCAAGGTTCCGAGGAAGGAAGGGCTACTGAAGCGCTCGCCCAGAGAGCCAGCCCCGGGACCTCGGTGTTTGCCAGCGCTTTAAGCCAAGCAGAGGCTAGAAGTAAGAAGGTGCATCTGCTGCCTCCCTGCACRTGGTGTTTTCATGGAAGGCATCAGCGTCGAAGGATTCTCATGGATGGACCTGGATGTGTGTTTTAGATCTTAAAAAGAAAGATGCAAAACTTAACTTTTGGCCAAAATAGGTACCTTTCATGCACTTGTAATAAAATACATAAACGGAATGAGGTGAAGTTACCTTTCTGTTTTGAATTGAAATTGTCTTTTGTTATTTTTGATAATGTTTCATTATTTACAAATAATGCAAAGTTATAGAAGAAGATAGTTCACTCAGCTGTAGTATCTCGTGGGATGCCTCGGGACAGAGCTGTTGCTTCCAGGCATGAAGGGCTGGCCAAGGCTGTGAGATACGTGCGCTGGCCGCTGCCTTCCCCGCAGCTTTATTAGTCTGTAAGCCTGCCCTGAGAGAAAGAGGTAGTGATGTGTATGCAGGCCCATGTATGCAAGGGTGGCATCTCACTCATTTTGTTGCAAATTCATTTTAATATGGTAATTGCACATGTCCAGTGAGGCCGGACTGTGAAAATGAGCAACTGGATTGAACTTTAGTTTCTCTGAAGTAAAAGGTGTCTGATTTAACTTACTGTAATCTGTCTCTCTGTTGTATCAACAGAGGTACAGGAGAACTGGAGCATCATTCTGCTCAGCAGTTTGGGCGCCATGTGCCAGGATTGCCCATATGCTAATTGTCTTTCTTTGGGCRGGGAAAGGAATGTATATAAATACTAATCCAAACACACACACACACACCAGGAAYGATCATTTAGACTCTGTTATGTTTACWGGAAATTGCATTCCACAAATTTACTTTGTAATTCATGATGATTTTTCATGTTTTTGGTTGCTTCTCTGTGAATCCTTTGGCTTGTATATATGGGTATAAAATATTAAAATTGCCCTTCATATATTGTCATTAGATTGTAACATGTCTATTATATACTTTTAAAAATCTGCCATTCCTTTTGATTTATTTTTTTACTAGAGTAAAATATATATATATAAGTATGCAAATAATATAAGTATGCAAGTAAAATAGCCGCATTGAAAAAGCGAATGAATGAGTGAAGGAAAACGTGCTGCAAGATGACAGTTTTCTTTGAGACATAGATACATTAGTGTCTCTTGGCCCAGCCTGCTAAGAAACCAGCATGTACGTTGGTGACTATCATTAAATACAACATAAAAGTGTGTCTGTAGCCAAAGCTTAGTGAATTTATTTAAGAACTTGCTCCTGAAGAACATTCCTCTTGCCTTTGAACCATGCAGAAGTGGTAATGTGATGTCTATGTATGAAAATTCAAATAATTTCATACAAGTTAATCAGAAACAAGTTTAGGAAATAGTGAAGAGATTCACGATAATTTTTTTTTTCCCTTTTAAAATCTATATTAAAGTAGCTCATTTACACTTAGTCTAGACAGATGCATACAATGCTTGTGGTGTTTGTGAAACCAGTGCCTGCAGGGAGTGCAAGGCGATGGTGTGATTCTCCTGTGCAGCTGTTCTGCCAAGCCCAACTGTGATTATATTCCTTCCTGTATGTGTGATAATTGCATTAATTCAAAACTCAAATGGACACCGGAATTTGCCTATTTTTTGCAGTCATAAATKAACACTGGCTTTCCTTTTTCAACGATCTGTTGATCATGCAGAAACTAGTTTTCTCCGAATGCTGCCAACATACAACTTCAAATGCAACATACATCCTTATTGTCTGTTTATACACACACCTAAACTGACAAGTTGAGGTGACGTCTATAAGTCTTAATAGCCTAACCCTGCATTTCAACCTAGTATTCACAGGCCTTTCTCTTCCCTCTCAGTGGGAGGTGGCTGGAGGGGGAATTATAATGAAGTTGTTAGCTGTTTTGAGGATATTTGGATACTAGTTCACTCTACTACCACTGCTCTCTATATTCTGGAAGTCAAAGAGCCTTCCGTGATGGTGCCTTGCAGTGGGGGGCCGATAGCTTTGATGAATGGATCATCTCTTCCTTTCTCTCCGTCCTAATCCCAGAGCTTCACCCGTGGTGTTACAGAAGCTCCTGTGGGAAAGGAACAGGCTAAGAGGTAACTAAAGTTTCTTTTATTTGTTGGCTTGATCCTACGAAGATAAAGTGTTAAAATCAATGGAAGTGCTTGTTATTAAACGCTTCCAAATTCCGTAACTAATCTGCAAAATTACTTCTATTGCTTAATTTCATAGACCCTCTTAATGCCAATATGTCCTCAGCTGGGAAATTATTAGTATGTCAGACTATCTATCTAGGCCAGTATGTGTGTGTGTGTGTGTGTGTGTGTGTGTGTATATATATATATACACACCTAAATACTGACTTGCTCAAGAGACCACAGTTGATCCATTCCGACACTGTATAACAAGATACTCTGTCTAAAAATGACAAATTACATAATTGCCTTGGGACTTTGGGCACTGTCCCGCCTGAGAGCTGTTAATGTTTCCTACATGACTTTTAAAAACATGTAACCTGTTTTATTAATTGAAAGCACTAAGTACCATACATTTCTGCACATAATTTCAGCTTTTCTTTCCAATGCATGGAAATGTTTTCCTTTGAACGTTTTTCTATTTTAAAATCATCTGAATTGTGCTCTATTACAAGTTTTGTTAAAGAGATATCTAATCTGTGTTGGATCTTGCAAGATTAAAAATGTGTTGGAACCTGTAAAATCTTGAGTGTTGAGGACAGAAGATTGAAATGGTGCTGAAAAAGCTCTTGCTTGGTTTTAGTGTCGCTTCTATATGCAGTGCTAATCATTGCTATCAAACAGCAATGCAGTTTGCCTAAAGCTTGCAATTTTGCATCAATATCTTCATATTTTACATGGTGGCAGAATAAAAGGATGCTGAATGCTTCTGGCCATTGTTAATGTAGTGTTATGTAATGTTGGGGGTACTGCTACATCTAGTTTTACTGGATAGGTACCCTTTGGGGTCCAGTCCTGCAAACACATTTTGCAATGTGTGTTTGTTATAGGTAAGAAGTAGGCCACGGTCAGATTCCCTGGCCAGAAAATTATCCAGGACCTCAGTTACATTCTCCAAAGCTTGTATGACGTGGCAAGACCCCTTGCATGAGGAGAATTTGTTTAATGACAGGCCCGTATTTGTGTACTGGAAAGTGAGGAAAAGCAGTTGAGGCTTAACRAGTATGCATTTAGCTAGTGTATTTTTTAATTATTAAAAGCATTTTTATTTATTTATTTTTTTTTTTAGAGCTTCCCCACTTCTAGAATGTGTGTATTTTTTTGTGTTGCAAACAGCTTCCTTATTCCCTGGTGAGCATAAGAAATGGGTTGTCTGCTCTTTCTCTAGGGTTCTGGGGAGTGGTGGGACGGTAGTCTTCGTTTTCTAAAAGATATTTCTGAAGGAATACATACATTTTTTAAAAATATATTTTTATTTTGATGCAAATCCATWACAAACTAGGCTGTCATGCAGAAGGCAAGTAGCTGGTGTTATCACCCGGGTCTCAAACTGCAGCAGCTCTGGTGTTCGGATCAGAGAGACCTAAGGTGAGTTGGGTGCTGACTCGGGATGAGCCGGAGCCCTTTGATGGCTGTGGCAGAAGGGCCCTTGGGAATCTGSGTTAGGAAAATCGGCTGCAGGTTGTCTGCGCGCTGGCGAGGTGAGGAAGGGGAGGGCACAGAGCAGGTGTTGGCTGCGAGGCCGTTGCTGTGAGCACAGGTATTGCCCAAGGCCCTGTACGAGCCCGGGGCGCCCGTTTCTCCTCGCCTTACCCTGGGGGTTTTAGGGCAGGAGGGTTTAACTCCCTTGCCCCAGTCTCACAGTGGTGCAGATCCTTATGCTTTGACGCTGGAAAGGAAAAGCATTCTCTTGAAAATGGCAGAGGATGTCACCTATGACTAATTTCGACATCACMTTTCAAGAATAACAATAAAAAATGCGTGTCTGGGGACGAGGGCTCACGCGGCTCCTGCTGCCACCTGCCAAGCCAGCCGCGGGGCGGTTGGGCGGGCGGCTCGTCCCTCTTCCCGCCCACGGGGCCTCCATTGCGGGCCGTTTAACCGGCCGCGCCGCCGCCGCCAGCCGCCTCCCGCCGGGGGCCGGCCCGGCGCTGCCGTCACGAGCGGGCGGCCGCGGAGGAGGCGGCGCCGGGAGGCGGCTGCCGCGGCGGGAGCGGCGCGGAGCCGAGGTAAGGGGCGCCTGCCCGCCGCCCTGCGCTCCCTCCATCCCTGCATCCCTCCCTGAATCCCTCCTTGCAGCCCTCCCGCCGCTGCCCGCCCCGCGGCGGGCCCCGAGCATGGCGGCTGGCCGTTGGGGGCGACCGTTGGGCCGGCCGCCTCTGCTGGCGCGGGGCCTGTGCCGGGCTCCGTCCCCGGCGTCCGCGCGAGCCGCGGCAGCGCTGGTGGGCGAAGAGACAGCGGCCGTGAGGGAGAAAGAGAGGGGGRAAAAAAATGGAGAAAGGAAGGGATCATGGCTGCCCGCGCGTTTCCTGCATCCCGTTTGCAGGTGCGCGTTGCCCGTTTGGTGGAGGCCCCGGCCGGGCCGGGCCCGGGTGCTGCCCGCCCGAGGCCTTCGCGGGTCCTGCGTTTTATTTCATTTCATTTTCCTGCAGCGTCGCGATGGCGCGGGGCGCAGGAATTGGACAGCCGAGCTCAGCGTGGAGCCTGGAAAGGTGCTGCAGGGCCTGTAGCCTCTGCTGATTTATGCCAGGCAGCTCTTACGGCCCCTTTCCCATGTCAAGGAGCCTTAAAAGGAAGACRATTCTCTGTTTAGTTGGGTGCATGTTTTAGATTTTTGCCCATTCCCYGGGTTAGAGTGTGGTTCTGGGGCATCACGGGAGCCCTTTAGTGCCTGTGCAGGGCTGATGCGCCCCACGCCCTGCCCGTGACGCCGTTGCTGTGTTTGAACCCAGTTTTGGCTCTGTCCCGATGTACACATTTTCCTTCACACACCGAGTGAGCAAAATCAATTTGTGCCGGTCAAAGTGCAGCCCGAACCGGGCACACAGCATGACTGCATGTGCAAGAGAGGGGCTTTTCTCCCGGTGGCCGAGTGCTTGGATGTYGACTGTAGCTCTCCATCTCTGCGGGCCGATATAAGCGTGTCTGCAGCGCGGAGCCCGTCCCTGTGAGCCCCAGGAGCAGCCGGGGCAGTTTAACTGTGTTGTTTGGAGGCGGCCGCACCAGAGCGGCGCTTACGTGTTTGCTCGCCCTCCAGCTCCGGTGCAGGGAGATGAGCTTGCAAAACCCTGTCGTCCTGGAGACCAGGCTGCCGTTTCCCCTTGAGAAACCACCGGCTGCTCGTGCTTGTTTCAAAAGCCCGTGTTTTTCAAAACTCAGTTAGGAAGGTTTTCCGTGCTCGTGGTCTGCCTCGTTTCTTGGATCGTGGAGGGTTCTCAGAGGGGATGCTGGATCTTGCCAGCTCTATCTGGAGTCCAATTGATGTTATGAGGGAGCAGATAGTGAGGGAGAAACGTAATAAACCTTTTGCAAGAACCTGAAATCTGGGGTATATTTAAGTGTCTGGCATTTTGTAAGCTTCGGGATGGACACAAACTCTTGGATTCGTCAGCTCCATGCCGGCAGCACCAAGTGCTACACTTGTATCCAGTGTTTGCTTCCAAGCTGTGTGTGTTTCTCTCRGCGCGTTAGAGCTCTGCCTGTGGCTGAAGTTGTTCACAGTACCTTAAAGGYCAAGGGCTCCCTTGCCCTTAGATTGAATTCAGCCTTTTAGTGAAGTGCTTTGGTGCAGCAAGTTTAAGCGATCTAATTCGTATTGCCCAAGATGCACTGTTCCATTTTAAGGATGGTTTTTGGAGCTCTCTGGATTCCTGCGGTGGAAGCGCTTCCCCGTTCCTGCTAGTGCTTCTGCCCCAGCTCCTGGAGAGAGCGGTGACAGCCGCGCTGTCGTGGGCCCCGTTCAGCRCCCTGCTTCTCGCCTCCCTTCCTGGCTCTTTTTCAGGCCCTCTGCCCAACTCCTGAACAAACCTGCTTTGCAGGAACGTTTTTAGGAAATGCTTTTGGCCTTGGAAGAAGAAAGATCTGGAGTCTCTCTAGCTTGTGCGCCTCAGTCGAGGGAAGGGGCCTAGCCTGCAGCGTGTTTAAATGGGATACATTGCTCTTTTACCTGATCCGATTAGCTCCTAACTGTGGGCTGCCCTTTTGGCCTTCAGAAACAAGGCAAATTTTCCCATTGAATTTTTTTCTTGCTCTCCTACGCTGGCCCTGGCGGTCCCAAGCCTGGGCTGTGCAAGAGTTTCCTTGAGAGCTGCCCACCCTTCGTGAGGGCCTTGACAAGAGCTCGGTGTCAAAGAGCAGCTCTGTATTAGGGGTCTCAGAAATACCTGCCTGCCTTTGAGCCCTCCCTGGTTTTCTTTCTGGCTCTTTCTCTACATTTTCTCAGTAATGACTATGTCAAAGGAATAAGCCTAGTTTGGTAGATCTCCAATTTCTTTATATAACATTTGAAAAAGGTGATTTTTTTTCCTGTGATGCTCAAAATAGTTAATGACAGGATGCTCCRAAGATCTACTCTATTTTTCCCCTTGCCTTCCTGAATTTCTCCATGCATCTGGCTGCCCGTGCATCTTGCCTTGACACTGCCAGGTCTTTCGATCCCGCCACTCCTTCCTTCCCTCGCTAAGCTGGAAACTGCTGCCTCCTCCCACAGCCGAGCCGGGGGAACGAGACACGTGCCCGAGCTCGGCACCGTCGCTTCGGATTTAAACTGCAGGCCTGGGGCTTCTGAAGAGCATTTGCCTGATCAGGCCCGTGGGCTTTGCTTGGGAGGCAGCAAACTTCTGCAACGGGCTGGTGATATGTGAAGTCACCAGAGCCGCTCGCCAAGCTCTATGTGCCGGTTTTGTGTTGTATTTTTACCACTAAGTGGTAAGTATTAGTGCAGTTAGTTCTGCTAGTAGTTCTCAGAATGTCAGGATTTATTTAACACTGCACAGTTGTTGAAAAAAAAAAAAACAAAGATTCTGTATATTCCTGTGGAAAGCACTGTGTATGAAATATAAAGTGTGGGACTGGGTCTTTCTGTCCCAGCGCAGAGGACCCCAGAGCATCAGTCAGGTCCTCCGTGAGTGTGGCTGTCACCTGCACAAGGCAGTTGTACCAGGGGTAGTTTATACCTTTCAGTTTGTGTGGGTCGCTGTACGTGCAGCTGCCCAGCATCCTATGGGCWGGTATTGCAGCGGCTGAGATAATGACTGGTCCTGTCTATAGAGAAGCCGTGTTTGTGTAGCCACCTTTGCAGTCAGCGTTGCTGCAGGAAGCCAGGAATTGGTGTCCAAGAGACAGCTCCTCATGGGCAAACCCTGCCTGGACAGGACCCTGTGCCCCGCGTGTCCCTGCCGGGGCAGGGGGTTGGACTAGGCCATCTCCAGAGGTCCCTCGCCTCCTCGGCCCCTCTGTGGCTCTGTGCCTTGCCCAGCGCCGGTCTGTGCCCCAGCTCCTTGGTGCAGCGCTCCTCCCAGCCAGGTAAGTCCAGCCCTTGTGCCTGGCCCTYGGGCACGGCCCTCGGCTGCTTCCCRTTTGGGGCCCYGCTTGGCCAGGATTGCTCTTCCCATCTCTCGCTCCTTCCTCTGCTTCTCAGGTCCCTCTCTCCTTGCTTTCGAGCTTGGGGTCCCGCTCATGCTCCCAAATGCAGGGTCGCAGGTGCTGCCCCGTGTGGGCGCCGCTCGGTCAGCCCTGGAAAGCAGGGGTGCTCACACCAGTCGCTTGGCATCTTTGGGGATTTTAGTTAGCAAATCTTTGCTGAATCCGCATAATTCTGACTTCTTAAGGTTTAGGATGCAAAGGAAGGACTGACTTTTTTTTTCCTTTGATTTATGCAAAACATATTTTTCCCATAATCTTTTTTCTTGACAGTAGTTGAACAGTTTTAGCTGAAATTAATGATTTTTTTTTTTTTTTTTTAATCAGCCCAAGGCAGACACTCAGCATGAAAAATCTGGGGACATGTGCTTTATGAAAAACAGTATTTAACGGCGTGTAAATGATATTTAACACAGTGCTGGCCTAATGCTGGCACGTGAGTGACCTGCCCAGAGGAAAGCAAGGTAAATTTTGCCCTGTGAGGAACCACACTGGAAACATACACAGRCTTTCCTACTGCCCCCCATCCATAAGGATGATGGAAATGTGCCTCTTTGCTTTGCCACATACCCAAACTAGTTAGTTTGACCCAATCCAGCCCTCTCTATTTTAGTGAAATCAGCGCTTTCCCAGAGGTATCGGCAGGGACCGTGTTTCCGCTGGCGTTGCCAGTGGCCGCTGCAGCAGGGCACAGGCTTCCCACAGGGGCCCGCGTGCCGCCCCGCTCCTGCGTGCGGCTCTGGGGGAAGCAGAGTTAACTCCATAGCAGGTTGCCACCAATCTTTCCAACTTGGGTGGCGATGTCTCTGTGTGCTTAATATATCAGCGGCAGGCTACAGCTGTGCATTCCCAAGAGGAAATAGACCAGGAGCGAGCGGCACGGTGTGGACAGAAGGATGAGGCGCTCTGTGAAAAGACAGCGCTGTGAAGTACGGCCAGGAAGAGGCACACAAGTGAGGCTGCAGCGAGAGCTTTGGGTGCTTGGGCTGTGTTAACTTGGAGGGCGTTTCGGAYTGAATATGCGAGTAGTGTATTGAGTGCATGTGCCTCTGTAAAACACAAACGTTTTGTGGTCTGTTGGAGAGCAGAATAGCCCGGTTATCAGTGGAGAGAGACACGTCCGGGTGCTGTCCGAATGGGGATCCTTAGCACCCCGCAGGCTTGGGTGTGAAATGAGCAATTACACGGAAATGTGCTGGATAAAATGAGCGTGCTGTCAAAAATAAGCTGGTAGGATGGAAACGGAGCCGTGAGGAAGACGTCGCCGCGTCACGCGCGGCCTCTGGATGCAAGCAGGGAATGGTGCCGCTTGTCAGCGTGCACAGGGCCCRCTAGGGCCTTGGGGAGGCCGGTCTCGCCCTGGGGCACGGGCTGCTGCCAGGTTGGAGGTTTGTGCTGTGCCACATGGGAGCCGAGAACATGAACAGTGCCCTCTGCGGAGAGGCGGCTGGCGAGGACGGGCTGCCCCAGGAGGAGCGAGCGCCGAACCCGGCTCCCTCCTCGCACGGCGCCCGGCAGGCAGGGGCTGGAGCGCGCGCCGGGCGGCCGCTCTCGGACACGGCCACGCTGCTGCTGCGGGGACCTCCCC